ATTAAAGCTTGCCTGAGGATATAAAAAGCAAAGTTAGCCACAAGCCATAGAAGCCAGGCACACACCTTTAATCCCAGCAGCCAGAAACTAGGAAGTGGTGGTACACACCTTTAATCCTAGGACTCAGGATTAAGAGATAGACAGATCTCTGTGTGCCCAAGTCCACCCAGATCTATACAAAATTGATCAGTCCTAAGAGAAACAGTTCACAAAGATGATCTCAGCACCTGGGATCACACGCCTTTAATCCCAGCATTATGGAGGTATACAAGACAGGAGCAAGGTCTCAGTACAGAACATTCATTCTCCAGACACACTGAAGATAGGAAGACATGGAAATCTCAGGATTCTCCAGCCATGCTGAGAAGAGGCAGCAATCTGAGGTTTGGTGGAGCCAGGATCAGTCTGAGGTAGAGTGAGAGCTAGTGCCCAACTGCTTTTCTTTTCTGATCTTCAGCTTGAAATTTGAACCCCAGTATCAGTCTCTGGGTCATTTATTTTTTGTGTCACATGCCTCTGCCTCCAGAGTGAATACTGGGATTAAAGGCATGTCACCACACTGGGCTCCAAAATGGTATTTTAAGACTGTCCCTAGAGTACCCTCCACCCATGCCTTAAAAGTATGATGTGTATGCAGAGGTTCTGTGAGACAAGTGACACCAATGCTTCAGACACAGAAACAGTGCACAGGTGACCTCATAGGCAAACTCAAGTCATTGTCCTGGGTGGAACATTGTAGATGTTTAAAAAAAGAAAAAAAAAAAAAAAACTACAATGGATGCCTCAGAAGTCAGTGCCCCAGGGAAGGAATCTAAATTTAAGTTATTTCATCAGATGTCTATAGAGAGGTCAAGTTAGATCATTGAATTGCCTTCATCATCACTTCCTGTGTGGCCTTGAGCAAGACAATTAATTACATAACCTTTGATGGTTCTCCATCTGTAGAACAGGGCTAGCCGCACACTAACTTGGAATTAAGCATGAATCACGGTGCCAGTGCCGGCACACCAAGTGCTCAGAGATGACCATGGACGTCAGCCAATTCTGAATTTGATGTAAACCACCACTGTGACATTACTATGGAAGTGGACAGTTTAGGGGGAACTCTGCCTTTGCCTTTCATGACATGCTACACTAGAATACCAGACTACAGTGAACTCACACAGAGATTCTGATGACTGGGGGCAGGATGGAGATATATGCCTAGGCTCTGGGAGTTTGGAAAAATTAGCAGGGGTAGCCAAGTTTGAAGTGATGTTACATTACAAAAGGTAGACAACTGTTCTAGATTAAAAATGGATAGATTAAAAATGGCTCAGTAGGTAAAAGTGCTTGCTTCCAAGCCTGACAACCACAGTTCAATCTCAGAACCCACATGGTTGAGGAACTGACTCCTGCAAGTTGTCTTCCGTGTGCATGAATGCATGCAGTGGGACACAGGATTCCCTGCTGTAGAATAATCCTTCTGTACACTGTGATCAAGACGTGTTGCTCTCATTAAGAAAAAGATGATTGGCCTAGGCAGGATTTGGGGGCAGAGAGCGTGCTGGGGAGAAGAAAGGCAGAGCTGGGCATTGGTGACACACGCCTTTGATTTAATCCCAGCACTTGGGAGGCAGAGGCAGGCAGATCTCTGTGAGTTTGAGGGTAAGTTCCAGGACAGGCTCCAAAACAATACAGAGAAACCCTGTAAGGGGGTGGGGGGGAGGTAGGCAGAGTCTGAGGAGGTGCCATGAGACATATACATGAGGTAAATGAGCCTCAGAAAAACACATAGATGAGTAGAAATGGGTTAATTTCAGTTGTAAGAGCTAGCTAAAAACAAGCCTAAGCTATTGACAGAGCCTTCATAATAAGAAATCTCTGTGAGTATTTATTTGGGTGCTGGCCAGAAGTTCCAATGAAAAATTCTACCTACAACCCCACCACAATAAATGCCAACATTTTTAATGGGCAAAAACACAAATGTAACACATAATAGAGGATGCTGGGAACTGAAAGTCATTTAGGAGTCAAATAGGGAATTTTAAAATGAGCTGCATTATTAGATGGTAACATAATATTGGGACTAGCAAGATGGCTCAGTGGGTAAAAGCACTCACTGTACAAGTCTCCTGACCTGATTTTGATCCCTAGAGCCCAGATAAAAGTAGGAAATAGCTAGCAGTGGTGGTTCATACCTTTAATCCCAGCACTCGAGAGGCAGAGGCAGGAAGATCTCTGTGAGTTCAAGGTCAGCCTGGTCTATAGAGTGAGTTCTAGGACAGATTGGGCTACACAGAGAAACCCTGTCTGGATAAATAAATAAATAGTAGAACAATAACTCTAGTTATCCTCTGTCCTCCATATGTGCCATGGAACACACACCCATCTCACTGTATCACAGACACAAATTTTAAAAAAGATGATCCAGTTATCTTGTGTGCTAATGGCATTGTGACGTGTGTGTGTGGGGGGGGGGGAGTTGGTGTACTGGCTACTTGTTTCAAATGATCCTGGAAAAAGTCTATGTAGAGAAAATACTCCCAGCAGCTTGATACAAAGTTTCTGGGAAGTCAGTTGTGGTTTGAACATGCACTGTCCTCCACAGCAGTGTTTGAACACTTGCCCACCAGTTGGTGGTGCTGTTTGGTAAGGCTGTGGTACTGTTAGGAGGCAGAAATCCACTGAGGGAAGTCGGACACTGGGGGGGCGGGGGGGGGGGGCTTCCTTGCAGTTTCATAGTCTTACTTCCTGATTATTGTGTGCTTTGACTGGAGAGGCAGCCTGGACAGCAAGCCAATTCCTCTTACCACCATGCCTTCCTTGTCCTCCCCAAAGGTTATCTTCCCAAACTAAGGCAGAGCAAACTCTCCTCTTTCCTCAAATTGCTTTATTTTGTAACAATCATGATCTAAGTGACAAAAGTCTCGATCTAAGTGACAAAGTCTCATGTATCCTAGGCTGGCCTTTCACTTATAATATAGCCAAGGGTGACCTTAAACTTCTGGTTCTCCTGCCTCCACCTGTAATCTGGGCTAAGTATTGGTACATGCTGAGGATCACATTCAAGGCTTCATCCATGCCATACAAGCACCCTACCAATTGAGCTAAATCCCATTAGATACAAAGTAATTCTAAAAATTCTTTCAACCTTTAAACATATATTACAATTTTCAAAGTAAAGAGCTCATAGTAATAGTTAACCTATAGCCATCTTTTTTTTAAGTTACAGCTGTTTTCTTATCCCATGGTCCTTCAGTTTGAAGAAAGTGTCCTGGCTAGGGCTACTATTGCTTTGACAAAACAGCATGACCAAAAGCAAGTTGGAAAGGGAAAGGTTTAATTTGGCTTGCTCTTCTATATATCTGATCCATATCAGGAACTCTAGGCAGGAACCTGGAGGCAGGAGTTGATGCAGAGGCTGTGGAGGGGTGCTGCTTACTGGCTTGCTCCTCCTGCTTTCTCTCTCTGTTTTTTAAGATTTATTAATTTATGTATGATTTTATGCCAGAAGAGGGCATCAGATCTCATTATAGATGTTGTGAGCCACCATGTGGTTGCTGGGAATTGAACTCAGGACCTCTGAAAGAGTAGCAAGTATTCCTAACATCTCTCAAGCCTGCTTTCTTTTAGAACCCAGAACCACCAGCTTAGGGGTGTCCCTACCTACGGTGGGCTGCCCACTCATATCAATCAACAGCCTGATGGTAGGGAGGCATTTTCTTAATTGAGAATTAACTCTGGTAGTGCTAGCTTATGTCAAATTGACATAAAACTAGCCAACACACACAAACAATAAACAAAATGGGCAAATAAGTAAGTGGATAAAACACTCCAACATGGGGCTGGAAATGGCTCAGAGGTTAAAAGCACTGACTGCTCTTCCAGAGGTGCTGAGTTCAATTCCCAGCAATCACATGGTGTTTCACAACTATCTGTACTGAGATCTGGTGCCCTCTTCTGGCCTGCAGGGATACATGCAGACAGAACACTATATACATAATAAATCTTAAACACACACACACTCTCAAACCTACAGAACTTAAGAAAAAATGGGCTCAAAAACTATGACAAACCAAATCAGTGGCAGTTTCATATGTACCAATGGGTAAGAAAGACACTAATTCATTCTGAAAAAGCCTGTAACTTGTTGGTAGGTAGGAACCCACTGGCCTGCATATTACTCTGGCCAGAGGAAGAAAATAAGGGAATGTAACATGGTAATAAAGGTGAAGCATAAGCTAGAGTGAAAAGAGGGAACAGCAGCAAGGCCAGGCATCAATGCAGTTGCAGCCTGCAATGAAGATGGGCCCAGTCCTGTGAAATGAGACAGGGAACTTTGTGAAAGAGGGAGTGTGCCTTGTATGTCTATGCAGTTCCTTTCAGCCAGGTGCACCTGTCTGTTCACCTGGCATTACCCACAGGCAAAACCACACACAAGTCTAAATTCTGCAGTGCTCCAAAACTTCTCAAATGTATCACTCCCCCTGAAGAACTCTGGGTCCTAGAAGGTAATCCATAGAAGGTAATCCATCTTCTACACCAAGACTGTCTACAGAAGATCTGACATTGATTCTCTTTTGTTTTTGAGACAGTTTCTCTGTGTAACCCTAGATGTTCTGGAATTCACTTTGTAGACCAGCCTGGCCTCCAACTCACAGAGACCTGCCTCTGCCTCCTGAGTGCTGGGATTAAAGGCGTGCACCACACCACCCACCACCAGCAGCAGCAGCAGTTTGACACTGATTCTCTTAATGAGACCTTCTTCTTACTCGATCTACAAGTTAGTAGATCAAGACACTGGAGTAGAAACAGACATTCATTTTCTTTTCAGTTCCCACGTGAACTAAATTCTCACTTAGGGGCCAGAGTCTTTGCAAGCAAAGTAGGCTTTGTATCATGCATGACCTGCCTAGAAAGAGCAGGGTCCAACGTCCTATGCCAACTCTATGATCAGGATGACAAAGAACCCAACATGCACAATTCCCCCACTGTGAGGTCAAAGATAAATACTCTTGTGTAGCAATCTTTATGTATTTATTCACACATTTGGTAAAAATGTCATAGGAGCAATTAATTATGATAACACAAGTAACTGTACAGAGTCAAATCACCATTAAGTCAGAACAAAGGGCAACCATAACTGCTTAATACCTGTACCCCAGCACTCACACACACACACACAAAACACACTCATACGCATTCAACTACGGGTGCTAAATTCAGATGAATGGTTTCTGTCAGGTCCTGGGGAGAAGGGAGAAATGCTTACTGAAAGACACTGGGACTGCTCAATGCATCTCTCTGCTCTGCCAACAGAAGACATCAAACATTGAGGGAGTTAGTTGTTTCCTTGGCACAGAACTGAGTAGGCAACAAAAGTTTTTTAAAAAGGGTTAAGTTCACCTTGGGTTTAGTTTCCTTTTTCAATACCACAACAGGATAGCAAGCAGGAAAAAAAGAAAAAGGGAGGAAGATTTAAAACTTGATCCCTATTCACCATAAAGAATCCAGCAAGGCCAGGCCCATATCATCTGGTTGTGATCTTATCCAAACTGTGTCTTACTTCTATGTCAGCTCTGGAGAGAAATGTTTTAGAGGCTCAGGAGGGTCACATAAGCCATATCCCTACCATATTGGTACAGGGAAAGACTTCATCTGCTGGCCCACATGGCAGCTTACAGTTTTGAAAGTTCTGAGGAAATGGTGCAACCACCATCCACTACCTTTAGCCCTCCAGGAAGGCCCAGTCAATCTGCAGTGGGAAAACAGTGATAAAAAGGAGTTGTACTCAAATCTACAACTCCAATTTGCTACCAGGGTTAAAAAGAAATAGTTACTTTTAAGTGAGACATTTTGTATGTACTTCCACTGACGCTATCAAAACACTGATGGCATCAAAGTACTGTCTAAAGGGGTTTGTCTCTGGTGCTCCTGGCAAATGGGCTAAGGCTACAGCAGAGGCAACAATCCAGCAAGCACAGCCCATAAACACAGAAAAGCCAGTTACAATAACTGCTTTGAGTCAAATATGTCAGTGTCATAGTATTTTGCAGGGGGGTGGATCCCTTGGTACAAACGTCATGTCTCTAATGATAAAGCAAGGTGAGGACAAGGCACTTAGCTCAGCCAGTGTTCACATCACCACAGGACTGTTACCAAGAGTACTCCTAGTGACCCCTTAGTGAGAACCCAGGGCCAATCACTTTTCAAGTAACATACAGAACTGAAGGATATCCAGAGCGCTGCACAACCAACGGTGGCATTTGGAATGTCAGCAAGGAAGCTTCTTGGAAGAGGCAGATGGGAGTCATTCCCTTCTGGCCTAAAGTGAGAGGTTTGTTCCAGATTAGCTCAACATAATACTGGATTTCACAACAGCTGGCCTGAGAACATGACGACTCCATGATGTCACAGCCCTCTCTGTTTGGTAAAGAGCAAGATGGCTCCAAATGAAATCTAACTCCAGTTATAATTCTCTCGCACTGACAGTTACAGCAGATGTCTTCTAACATGTGACTTGTCCCTGTCCTGCAGCAGAGCTGAGGGAGCAAGGCAGGTCCCAAAGTGCCTGTCTCTCCTTATCCCAAAGGCCCTTAAGCATACTCAATCCGAGCCGGGCCACGGCTACCCTCACTCTTCCGCTCAGAAGACGGAGCAGTGGCCTTGGCCTCACTGCTCATTTCCAGAGGCTTAGACGAAATGTAGTCCTTCACTTTGATCTCCATGTTCTTGGCTTTCAGAGTGGCCATGTGCAGCTTCTCCAGGAAATCTGGCATGCCTATTGGGACACAGAAGAATCTAGTCAAGCTGCTGTGATGGTTAGTTTCTTGTCAACCTGACACAAGCTAGAGTCATCTGGGAAGAGGGAATCTCAATTGAGAAAATGCCTCTCTGAGACTAGCCTCTAGGAAAGTACCGAAGGGGGGGGGGCGCACATTTTCTTGATTAATGACTGATGTGGGAGGGATCATACCTTCCTAGTTATGTGGTCCTAGGTTGTACAAAATAGGCTGAGCAAACCATGGAGAGCAAGCCAGTAAGCAATGGTCCTCTACGGCCTCCACTTCAGTTCCCTACCTTAACTTCTTTTCATGATGGACATAAGCTATAAGGTGAAATAAACCTTTTCCTCCCCAAATTGCCTTTTTGTATGTGTGGTAATGGTGTTCATTAGAGCAATAGAAGCAAACTAGGTCAGCTAACATACAAGCTAATAATAACAGGCTCAAAACCAAAGCTTATTCTTCCCTGTGCACAGCTACCCAACTCTGATCTTTTCCTGTTAGGTGATTAAAATATCATTTAGTGATACAGTCAAAACAAATGTCATTTAATTCAGATAAATTAACACAGATATATCTAATTTCCAGTCCCCCTTCTGAGGGATAGGGAACTACTAGAGCACTGAAGAAAGTAAACTATATGAGGAGTCAGGCATGGCATCATACAACAGTAATTCCAACAACTGGGAGGTTCAAGTGTGGGGTTCTACAGTTTAAAACCAAGCCAGAGAGCTGGGCAGTGGTGGTGCACTCTTTTAATCCCAGCACTCAGGAGGCAAATCTCTGTGAGTTCGAGGCCAGTCTGTTCTACAGAGCTAGTTCCAGGATAGCTATGGCTGTTACACAGAGAAACCCTGTCTCAATTTAAAAAAAAAAAAAGAGTTTAAAGCCAGCCTGGATTACACAAGATATTCTCAAAAATACAAAAGAAAAATCCAAGCCAAAACAATGAAACTCATGTGCAGACAAGGTATGAGAACTGGGAGATCTGATTTTGGCTATGATACGCAGCCTCTGTTAGGTAGTAGCAACTTCCCTAGGTAACTAACTGCCTCACAACTAAGTCTTCTTGGCCATATCTCTCACAGCCTTCTTCAACATTTTGGTTTTATCAGATGTCACCTAGGCTGGCCTTGATCCTCCTGCCTCAGCCCCTGTATCCACTACTGAGATTACAAGTGTGCACACCACCAACCTAGCCATTCAATACTGAGCAAAAAAATCTAAATTCATCAATGCCTGTATGTAGGCATGGAAGTGAGTGTCTTGTAAATTCTCCTCTGGGTAAAAAGAAAAAATCCTTTCTGGAACCCTTTTGCTTCTTAACCCTTCAAATCCCACCTAGAGGCTATAGTGAAATGGGAAGATTGTTCAAATCTCCCCCAACATGTCTACAAAATGGTAAGGCCAACCCTCCTTTTGCCATTAAGACAGAAAAACAAATCATTCAGCTCAGGTTCAGGGCCCCTGTAGATACCCCTACTTACCACTGGAAACCATCCAACTGACACAGTAACGAGGAAACACTGTCTGTGGATTGTCACTGTATGTCAGTAAATAATCAAAGCCATTCTGGAAAAGAAAAATAGCAACAATAACTCTACATCCAGTACCAGAATAACCATGACTCAATACTTCAGTGAAGAGTGCAATACCCTGACAGCGAAGGCCAGAGGCAGATGTTCAGAGAAAGGCCCCTCACCATCTTGTTCTTGGTAAATGAAGTTTCCTGTGCCAAATCTCAACAAATATCTGGTGGCCTCTATGAAAGATGGATTTTCTTCATGGAGGTCAAAAACTTACATGTTAAATAGAGGGTGCTATGGGGTCAGCTTCTAGTGAAACTCCAACACCAAGTCTCTAACCAGTTGCTAGCCAAAACAGTAAACACACATTGTTGCATCTTGATGCTAGAGAAGGAAGCCTCAAGGCTATTCTGTATCATTTTTCTTTATAACCTAGTTGTATATCCCTACTATGTCACTGTCCTAAGTAGCTAGGAGTACACTATTTGCTGAGTCTTGAAGTCTTTTTAGTAAATCTTCAAACATAGGAGTAGACTTAAGGACCCCAGTACAGATGCCCAATGTGTACAACTTAAAGATCTCACCTTCCCCTTCTGCTCTCAGTGCTAATAACAACTGTTTGCAGAACACGATGCAGCTGGAACTGCCTTAGGTCTCTGCAGCCTATAATGCACTACCCTCTTCCACTTTACAGATGAGCAGTTTGGGCACAGAAGTGAGAAAGGGAACTCTGACCACCAGTCCTACACACCTACTGTTCTTTGGCTCAGCCCTATCATTCCTAATACCAAAAAAGATCCAGGATTATTGAGGTGATTAAAGGGTCCTCATCCTGATGGGTATGGTGGCACATGTCTGAAGTTCCAGCACTTGACAGGCAAAGGCACACAAAGCAAACAAAACACAAAATGTCCCAATCCTAAGAGAAGCCTGGAGCAGCTGTGTTCTCTCTGATGGAATAAAGAGCTAATGTTCTAGCCACACAAGCAGAGGTATCAGGACTTGGGAGTAGTATCTTAACAGCAAAACCTACCCTCCCACTCCTGCTCAAAGTATATACTATTAAGTTGTTGTTCATTTTCTCAGCATATATTTGAATGTCTGCTGTGTCTGGCACTTTGCTAGGTGCTGCATAGCAAACATATCCGCTCCAGTCCTTGCCCTCAGTTCTAGTACACTGCATTCTGGCAACTCATCTCTCCCCAGTCCAGAAAAAGGCATTCCTTGAAAAAAAAAAATCAAAGCCACAGTACTCATCTCTAATATGTGGTAAAACTCACCTCATCAAATGACTTGTGAGGACGGATAACCATTTGGGATTCATAGGATCTGACCCTGACAAACTCTGGAGACTCTGGCACACTGGGGTGTTCCACAGCACTGAAAGGAGAAAGAGGGAATGACTGACTTTGCATTAACCGGTAGTGAGCCAGGGTGGGCAAGACTCTAAAACACTGACTCAACAAAACCAAGCAGTCAGTGAGATAAATGAAATACAACCCAGGTTATAAAAATAAGTTTCTTTGATACTATAATATATAGCTCACAGGCTGTATTTCTAGTTTTACCTTTTAAAATCACCAGCATTAAGAAATTCACAAAACTTAATCAGTACTGTGCTTGCCAAGCATGAGTAAGGTTCCTGTTTCTACCCTCAACACCGACTCCCACCCTCCTGCAAAAGCTTGCAAGTGTTTGTTCAGCTTCCCTGGTAGATGAGGCTACCCCCCCCCATTAGGGATCAGGGGTCAGAGGTCAGGGGTCAGGGACAGGCTGCTAGCAAGGCTGCAGGGCACTCATGAAGGCAAACTTCAAGGGACAGATGGGTGCAGGCACAGCTAACAAACCTCAATGAGGGCTCTACCAGTTATACATACCGGGACACCAAGACCATCACATTGTTTTCCTCATCCACGCTATACCGACGAACATAAACATAATCCCTTGAGTACATTGGATACTAAAGAAAGGGAGTGGGGAAGGATTAGTGTTCTGTATCACAGACTTGAAAGAAATAAAACCAAAGTAAATGTACTCACAGGAAAATGTGTTACCCAATGAAGAACCTCAGAACCACTGACGACATCTCTCTCAATCACCTCCAGCTTGATCACAAGAGCATCCCACTTTTTCCTGTACTCTGTGTCCAGCTGCAAAAGGGAAGATCCAAACAGAGATGCAGAAGTTTCTCTGGAGGCTGGATCTCTGACTTAAGGACATTATGGAGAAATAGTGATTTAACTCAACAGTGCTAACATTTAGAGGCATGGCTGTTTATTAGATGATTCTCTTAAGATTCTTATGTAATTGAAGGGGATTCTGTGTGTGTGTACATGTTTGTGTGTGTACCTGTGCATGTGTAGGCCAGGTCAATGCTGGGTTTCTTCTATCACTCTCCACTTTATTTGTTTTGATTTTTTTGAGACAGGGTTTCTGTGTAGCCTTGCTGGCTGTTCTGGAACTCACTCTGTAGACCCGGATCGTCTTAAACTCAGGAGATCCACCTGCCTCTGCCTCCCAAATGCTGTGATTTATTTTATTAAGACAGGCTCTCTCACTGAACCGGAGGCTCAATGGTTTGACTAGACAACCTCTCGAAACCTCTGGGGATCTATCTGCCCCCATCTGCCCAGTGCTGGGGTTTCTCACAAATACATGCTCCCACACTCAGCTTTTACATGGGCATACTGGACTCATGCTTGATCAGCAAGCATTGTACCCACTGGACCATTCCCCAAGTCCTATGGTGTTTTGCCTACATACCTGTCTGCACACTACAGCATGTTTGCCTGGCAGCCATGCAAAGCCAGAAGATGGTATTTTAGATTCCCTGGGACTGGAGTTACAGACAGTTGTGAGCCACCACATGATTACTGGGAATTTGAGTTATCTGGATGAGCAGATAGTGCTCTCCACCACTGAGCCACTTCTCCAGCCCCCTGCAGGGAGTCTTAAAAAAATGTAACCAGACATCCAAGGCATAGGCCTACAGTATCAGCAATTCAAGAAGTAGAGACAGGAAGATCAAAAGCTCAAGGCAAAACACCTAAAAGACTGAAGATGCAACTCAGTGGTTAGATTACTTGGCTAGCAAGCTTTGACAGCCATGTTCAGTTCCCATTATCATATGTGTCTAGGCACACACATACACAAAAACTATGAAATAGAAATGTTTGTGGAATGAGACTGTCAAGTTGGCTCAGTGGGTAACTATGTTTGCCACCTGTTGTTTTTAGCTTTAACCATCAACTTGACAGTCAGTAGTCACCTGAGAAGGGAAGTCCAGATAAGACTGGCCTAAGGGCATGTCTATTGGGGATTGTCTTGATCATTAATTGACTAGGTAGACACAGCCCACTATGAACAGTAAGTATCATTCCCTGGGAAGGTGGTACTGGACTATATAAGAAAGCTGGCTAAACATGAGGCCTGGAAGAGCCAATAAATAGTACTCTTCCATGGTTTCTGTCTCAAGTTCCAGTCCCAACTTCCCTCAGTTATTGACTATAACCTATAAAATGAAATAAACCATTTCTTCCCCTAAGTTGCTTTTGGTCAGAGTTTTATCACAGCAACAGAATGAAACTAGAACACTGTCTAACTATGTAAGCCTAATAACCTGAAATTCAATACACAGAACACACATAAGGATGGAAGGACTCCACAGAGTTGTCCTCTGGCCTTCACAAACTGTACTTGTGCCCTCACGCCCCACGGTAACAATAATAAAATTTAGAAAGAAAAGGAAATGTATGGAGAAAACATAACATATAATGTGTAAAGATAAGATAATTCTAAATCACTTTAAACAAAAAATTTTGAACTGATCTCTAATGCATAGAAATTCAGGAAGCATTTCTCATCTTTTGGCATCTCAAATACAGACATATAGTATGCATCAAAACAAAACAACACTGATAAAATATAGTGCCTAAGTCAAAGTACACTTGCATATCCTTAGTGAGTGGGTGTATTGCTGCTGCAGTTCTGGGGATTCAACCCAGAGCATATACTGCACAATGCTCTATTTTTCCAGTCCTGTTTTTACTTTTTAAGACAGTCTCATTAAGTTGATCAGGCTTGTCTTGAACTCACTATGTCCCAAGAAGGCTTCAGTCTCTCAAACAGCTAGGATTACAGACCTATTCCAACAGGCTTGGCATTTTTTTTATAACATTTTTTTTTTATTTTTTCAGACTTATTTTTTTTTTTTTTAATTAGTTCAAGTTAGGGAACAAGCTTGTTTCACATGTAAGCCCCCTCTCCCTCCCCTCACCCCATCCCTCCTCCCCCACCCCCAAGACTTATTTCTTATGTACATTGTTCTGTCTGTATGTATCCCTATATGACAGAAGAGGGTGCCAGGTCTCATTACGGATGGTTGTGAGCCACCATGTGGTTGCTGGGAATTGAACTCAGGACCTCGTGAAGAGCAATTAGTGTTCTTAACCTCTGAGCCATCTCTCCAGTTCCCAGGCTTGGCATTATTATCATCAACAAACTAGTTACTAAAAGCTTGGCAAAAATTACAACACACAGGGTGGTGGTGGCACATGTCTTTAATCCCAACACTCAGGAGGCAGAGGCAGGTGGATCTGCCTGGTCTACAAGAGCTAATTCCAGGACAGCTTCCAAAGCCACAGAGAAACCCTGTCTCAAAAACAAAAACAAACAAAAAAAAACAACAACACAATGACAGCAGGGATGTGGGGAAAGAGGAATCCTTCTACATTGCTAGTGGAATTATACATTGATGCAACCATTATGAAAATCAGTATGGAAGTTTCTCAAAAAAAAATTAAAAGTAGAACGACCATATGACCCAGCCATACCACTCCTGGGCATATACCCTACTATAAATGTTTACTATTGCACTATTCACAAAAGCAAGGAAATCAAACCAAATGAAGATAGTGAACCTGTGGTACTTATGTAAAATGGAATTTTATTCATCCATAAGGAAAAATGAAACTATAAAACTTTCAGGAAGATGAAGAATCTGAAAGTTATATTAAGCAAGGTTAACAGACTCAGAAAGACAAATGACACATTCTCTTTCATGTGCAGATCCTAGCTTTTACTGTTCATATATGTATAAATATGTGGGTATGAGTGTATGTATAAGTCATGAAACCAGAGAGTCCAGGAAAAAGGAGAAGGTGTTGATGAAAGAGGGGAGATAACAGAGCATGTGTAACATGTAACATCAAAGTTGAAAGGGGTTGCTAAGGGTAAAGCTATACAAGAGGGGACAGAGGGATGGAGAAGGGAGAAGGCAGCGGGAGGGAGGAAGAAGACCAGCAGAACACATTACATTTGAAAACGCCATAAAGATACCTAATACTACTTTGTATACTTATTGTATATTTCAGTTTTGGTTTTTTTTTTTTTTTTTTTTTTTTTTTTAAGGGGTTTTTTTTTTTTTTTTTTTTTTTTTTTTTGAGACAGGGTCTCTCTATTTAGTCTCGATGTCCTTGGGGGGCTCTCTATGTAAACCAGGCCAGCCTCAATCTCTGCCTCCTGAGTGCTGGGATTAAAAGTGCATGCTGTATACTAATTTTAAAAAAACAAAAAATTTAATCAAATTTTAAAATGGAATTATCATGGAAGTTCTATGTAGTTAGCACTTTGGTGATTCCACCTTTCTCTCTCATTTCTGTTTTACTTTTATTGTTTTTTGTTTGTTTTGTTTTTTTTGGGTTTTTTTGGTTTTTCGAGACAGGGTTTCTCTGTGTATCTTTGGAGCCTATCCTGGCACTTGCTCTGTAGACCAGGCTGGCCTCGAACTCAGAGATCCACCTGCCTCTGCCTTCCGAGTGCTGGGATTATTAAAGGTGTGCACCACCAACGCCCGGCACTTTTATTGTTTTTTGAGGCAGGGTTTTTATTATGTAGCTCTGGCTAGCTGTCCTGGAACTAGCCATGTAGCCCAGACTGGCCTTTAGCTCACAGAGATCCATCCTCCTGCCTCTGCTTCCCAAGTGCTAAGATTAATGAAAGCTGCCACCAAAGCCAACTCTTTTGTTTTTAATTTGCTGATTTGTTTTAACTCCTGGGACAGGGTCTTGCTGTGTAGCTCTGACTAGTCTTGTTATTTGTTACACAACCCAGGCTTGCCTCTAACTTGCAGCAAGTCTCCTGCCTCACCTTCCCAAGTGCTGAGACTATAAGTATTCATGGAGCAAGGAAGCTCCAGATCTGGAAATAAAATTAACTCACCTGAACATTGAAGAACTGCCGAGGCGTCACATCTGTGTATGTCCCAAAAACTAGAACGACAAGAGGAAGGGAGGGGGAGCTTGCCACACCCTGTCCCCTAAACTGCATTTTAAGTCCAGAGGACTGACAGGTCTCAAAGGCAAGATCAGAACCTAAAAATCATCCCAGGAGCAGCAAAGCAAGGCAGAGATGACATGTATTGAGGAGGAATATGAAAAGCTTGTCATCTGGGAGAGGAAAATAAACGAGAGTTTGGCAAACTTTCTTCCACAGAGCCAGGACAGAATAGTTTAGGAAGTACAAGGAACAAAGTGCTGCATGCCTGAGCACCATGGACATATGTCAAAAGCAGCAGGCATGGCTCACCTCGGTACTGGTAAAGGTGGGTGCCCGTAATAGGGCGCCGCCACAGCTTGAAGTGTTTCTTGTCCATCACCATTTCCCATGGCTCCTCTTTGTCCTTTGATTTTTCATTCCCTTCTGCTGGAGTCTTTGGTTCAGGAGGGTGATTCTCAACTCCAGAACTCTGAAATATATTTGACATTTCCTCCAACCGTTTCATCTCATTAATGGACCTGGAAAGACAGAAGCAAACATGCATCCATAAAATAAAGTGTCCAAAGACCTGCAAGATGAAAGGTGTGGTGGGAAACAGCCTATTATCACAGTGAACATAAATAAAATCTGAATTGTTAAGCTTGAATACTAGCCTAATACTTGTAATTAGAATAATTACTTAACCAGTTCCCATTTCTAAATCTATAAAATGCAGAAAACAATAGTACCTACTTCAAGCTGGTTGTGAAAACATACAAAAAACGTGCTCAAGACCTGACACAGCTTCAAATAACTTAAAGAATTTTAACATTTATCTCTTTGGGGTATTTTTACTTTCCATGAACACAGAACACAGTACAGTAGGTGCCTTATTCCTGTCACCTAACTGTACTTCCTTCAAATCCAGGAGTGACAGTCTTAAAGGCAGGTCATAAACTAGCAACCATGCTGGGGAGCAGCAGTGTGAGACAGAGAAGACACGGATCGAGGAGCACGGAGAAGCTGAGCCAGCTTCAAATACTAACCACCAAGGTTTGTAACTGACGTCCTTTGACACTCCCACCCCTTCGGTGACTCATCTTCCTGCTTCAGCCTCCTTAATATTGTGATTACAGCATACATCAGCTGGTAAGACTCTTTTTGCCCCCTTTTCAGTGGACTGTTTTCTTTCTCTATTTTCCCCGTTTTCAAACTGAAACATAATCTACATACCAGAAGATTCACCTCTTTACAGTATACAATTCAGTGCTTTTTATTAGACTATTCAAAAAGTTGGGTATTTATTTTCAGACACTTCCCTCACTCTCCATCCCTGCCAGCCACAAGGAGCGATGGAGATAGACCCTAAGGCTTCATACATGTTAGGCAAGCATTCTTACCATCTGAGCTACATTCCCAGCCCCTACATTTACTTTTTTGAGGAACTTTCAAACTCCTTTCCTTTGTATTTGTCTGTTTATATTGATTTCTTGGTAGGGGGAGGCATATGTGCCATGCTCACATGCAGAGGTCCAAGGCAACTTGTGGGACTTAGTCCCCTCCTTCTACCATGTAGGTCTAGGAAATGAACTTGGATCATCAGGTTTAGCAGCAATACCTTACCACTGAGCCATCTATTGGCCCCTAACCCATTTTCCAAAGCAGTGTATCATTTAAATATCCATATCACAGACACATGACGTTTCCAGTTACTCCACTTTTCCAACATTTATCATCTCCCTTGTTTTTGTTTTAAGGCAAGGTCTCACTATGCTGCCTGCTGGCCTTGAGCTCCTAGATTTTCCTCTGCCTCAGCTTCCCAAGGGGTTACTGGTGTCCCACTCTGTGTCTGTCTGTCTCTCTCTCGGTTTTTTGAGACAGGGTTTCTCTGTGTAGCTTTAGAGCCTATCCTGGCAATCACTCTGGAGACCAGGTTGGCCTCGAACTCATAGAGATCCACCTGCCTCTGCCCCAAGTGCTGGGATTAAAGGGGTGCGCCACCAACGCCCGGCTCCCACTCTGTCTCTTTAAATTGATCTTATTTACAGGTGTTCATGTGCCATTGTATATATGTGGAAGCAAGAGGACAACTTTAGGAATCAGTTTTCTCCTCCCACTCTGCCCCTGAGACAGTCTCTCTCAATTCTGCTCCTGCCTGGTCATCCCTCCTTAGCTTCCAGCTAATTCTCCTGACTCTTGTCTCCCAATTCCTAGTAGGAATGTTGGGAATACAGATGTGGACACACCTGGCATTTTTAAAGTGTGTGACTAGGGATCAAACCCATGCTGTTAGGCTTGAGATCAAGGTGCCAAATCCCTGGCCCCATTTGCTTTTTAAAAACTCAAATCACTTTTCATTTCTTGAGATAAAGTCTCACTAAGTAAACCAAACCAGTCTAGCCTTGAACTCAGAGATCCACCTGCTTCTGCTTCCTGAATGTTGGGATTGAAGGTGTGTGCCACCACACTCAACCTCAATAATGTTTTATAGATTTCAGTTTCTTGTGGCCAGGTGGTAGTGGCAGCACATGCCTTTAATCCCAGTACTCGGGAGGCAGGGGCAGGTGGAGCTCTGTGAATTCAAGGACAGCCTGGTCTACAGAGCTAGTTCCAGGACAGCCAGGGCTACAGAGAAACCCTATCTTGAAAAACCATACACATACAAAAAAGCAACTTTATTCTTTTTGATGCTGTTGTAAATGAAATCCTGCTCACTTCATTTTCAGGTTGTTCAGTGCTTATTGATTGTTTAGCCTGTAATCTTATTAGTGTGAACAGTTTACTAAGTCTAACTGTTTTCAAAAATCCCTTGGTATTTCAATCCAAAAGGCAATATTTGCTGTAGTTTTACTTCTTCCTTTCCAGTCTGGGTACCTTTTATCTTTTTCTTCCCTAACTTGCCTGGCTATAAACTCTAGTACACTATTGAAAGAAAGGAGAGCAGTGGCTTGTCTTGTTGCTGACCTTAGGGGGAAGGTTTCATTTTCTCAACACACTATGACCTATTTTTAGATGTTCTTTATAAATCTGAGGAATTTCCCTTTCATTCCCAATCTATTGAGTTGTTGAGTGCTATTTTCTTAAAGGTTATGTATTGTGGGTGCTTTTGCCCATATTTGTGTCTGTGTTCCACTTGAGTGCCTGGTACCCTCAGAGACCAGCAGGCAGCACTGGAGTCCCTAGAATGGGAGTTATAGACGGTTGTTAGCCATCATGTGGGAATTGAACCTAGATCTTCTGGAAGAGAAAAGCAGCCAGTGCTCTTAACCATCAAATCACCTCTCCAGCTCCTTTAAATCATGAAATGAGATTAGAATTAGCCAAATTCAGACAGGCGGTAGTAGCACATGCCTTTAATCCCAGCACTCAGGAGGCAGAGACAGGCGGATCTCTGTGAGTTCGAGGCCAGACTGGTCTACAGACAGACTCCAAAACTACACAAAGAAATCTTCTCTCAAAAAACAAAAAAGATTTAGCCAAATGCTACTTCTCTAAGTTTTTTCTCTATTTTTTTTTTTTCTTCCTCAGTACTTGGGAGGGAGAGGCAGATCTTTGTGACTTTAAGGCTATTTACCACACAGTAAAAAGTAACCTTGTCTCAATGTGTGTATATGCATAATTTGTGTAGTCCTCACGGAGATCTGAAGAGGACATCAGATACCCTAGAGTAAGTTTCAGGGGGTTGAAAGGTGCCCAAAATGGATGCTGGGAACTGAGTTTGGGACCTCTAGAAGAGCAGCATGTGCTCTTAACCACTGAGCCATCTCTCCAGACCCTTCTTCCTCTCTCTTATTTTTAAACACATTATTTTTTAAATATTTTATGTATTTATTATTTACTTATTTATTATGTATATAGCATTCTGCTTCCATGTATATCTGCACACTAGAAGAGGGCACCAGATCTCTTAACAGATGGTTGTGAGCCACCATGTGGTTGCTGGGAATTGAACTCAGGACCTCTGGAAGAGCAGCCAGTGCTCTTAACCTCTGAGCCATCTCTTCAGCCCTTCTTTCTCTTTTTTTGAGATAGTCTCAGGTAGCTCAGGCTGGCCTCAATATATGTACCTGAGGATGACCTTAATCTTTCTCTCTCCACTTCCTGAAAATTGGGATTACAGGACTATGCTATCAGATCTGGTTTATATAGTGATGGCAATCAAACCTAGGCTTTATGTGTGCTCCCTCTACCAAGTGAGCTACACCCCAGCTCCTGCATTTTATTCCAGTAATGTTCCATATTAAATTAACTTTGTAGGTTGTTGGATTCAGTCATTTAGTGCTTCCCCCCAAAGGGCTATAAAATCCTAAAATGTGATACTATATGGTATGATTATATAATCACTTGATGATCAATGCTTAGGTATAAAAACATAGATTGGCATAATATGCAACAAAGTGTGATTATGGGCACATCTATAGAGGCAAGGCAAATTCACAAAAAAGCACAGAAGAACTGCTATTATAATTTTGGGGGGTTGTTGATGGTGCTGTTTATTTTATTTTTAAGACAGGGTATTCTTAGACTGGCCGAAAACTCCTGATTCTCCTGCTCTAGCATTCCAAATGCTGATCTGTAGTCATCTATGCCTGGCTTTATTTCTTAAAAGTTGTATTTAATACCTTTTATTCTCGGGCTGGAGAGATGGCTCAGAGGTTAAGAGCACTGGCTGCTCTTCCAGAGGTCCTGAGTTCAATTCCCAGCAACCACATGGTGGCTCACAACCATCTGTTATGAGATCTGGTGCCCTCTTCTGGTGTGCAGATATATATGGAAACAGAATGTTGTATAGATAATAAATAAAATCTTTAAAAAAAATTATCTTTTATTCTTTAACCCTTTTATCTGAAACATTTATTAAAATGATTTTTTTAACATGGTACTACAAAACTGGTCAAAAGCTCCTGGCCAGGAAGGACATAGACCCTAGGGGGAATCTACTACTTACAGTTTTGCTAAATAGTAAATATTTATGCTTATACCCACATAGTGCTGCTCTCAGAAAACCTTTTCATAGTGGGTAACAGTTGACGTAGAGAATCAAAGTGCTGAGAAAAGCAACTTGAGAGCTCAGCCTTAAATGAGCAGCTGTATCACAAGTTTAACAAACATCAGATACCAGTCTTTTTCACCTTCCCACCTATATGCAAATGTTTCCATCCTTCCCCACCCAGTACACAAAGACTCCTATTGCATTCCAAGAACCTAATAGCCTGGATCAGTGGCCCCATTCCCCTCAGAGCAATGACTCCTTTCTCCTTGGATCAGTAAACTCTTTTCTATTCCATATACCCCAATATGGAAAGACTGTGAGGTTGGACAGCAGTCAATGAGAGAGAGTTAGTCACCAATTGTGTTAGAATACAAGAACCAAGCACATTTCCTGTCTCAGTGTTCCTGCTCTTCTGCTTTGATGAACAGTGCACCTTCTTGATTCAGAGTAAAATTTTGCTTTGCTGAGACACTTAGAGTAGTGGTCTCTTTTTTTGCTACTCCTGACTTATTTCTAACACAAAGTTCAGGAAAGTTAAGAAATGCT